CTTTTGGATCGTACTACGTAAAAGCTAACAGTTCTAATCCTTAGTAGTTTTGTCTTTGATAAAATGCGGTTATAGCTAAAAAACAACGGTTGTCTTCTGTATCAACATTTGAAGCTTTTAATCTTTTAACAAGATTTTTTAAATAATTGATTTTTTAAAAAAAATATACATATTTAATAAAAATAATGTAAAAATGATTTTTAGTCAGTTTACATAATGAATATTTACATAAATTAATTTATTTTAATAGAAAAATGTGATAAAGTTGCTATTAGGATTAATATTAAACATTAATTAAAAAGATTACAGATATGCTTATGGTACTATAAAATTTGATTAACAGACAGTTTTATCAATGATATTAATTTGTATTGTCAATAAAACTGCATCTCTCAAGATTTTTTGGTGAAGAAAATGCTTATATATTTCTATTTATAGTATACAAACAGATGAGCTTAACATTGCTCAGGCAAAAAATAACAGCAGCAAAGATTAAGATTATTAGATTATTTTGTATTTCTAACCCTTCTATTATATTATAGTTTTTGATTTATATTTACAAAGGTTATCTTATGTAAGAGTTTATCACACCAAGTGACCAATCTAACAATTTTAAAAATTGGTTAAATTGTGTACAGTACAGGAATAAAGAATTTTTAAAATGTGTTATATTGGTCACTCGGTGTGATAAACCCTTCCATAAGATAACCTTTGTAGTTATATAAATCAAATACTATAATATAATGAACATTAACCACTCGACAGTGAGGGACAGATATATCCGTTAAATTCTTTTGGGGGTATCGCCAAAAACTACCGCGAAAAAAAATTCACATAAAAAATGAATTATGTAACAATAAAAAAAGAGTTTTCTTTACTAGACATAACTGTTTACAAAATCTTTTTCCAAAAGGGAAATGAGAAAAAAAAAATGTGGAAAAATACTTTTAAAATTTTCCACGTTTATTCTCCACTACTTAGGAATAGCATCATACCTGAATATCCCACTGTTGAAAGGTTAAAACAAAAACCATATAGAGTTTGGTTATTTCAACCTACCATTGTCATGTTTATCACGATACTTGGATGGTACGAAATGGCACAATTTCATTGGTCAAATAGACACCACTTGAAAATACAATATCTTAAATTTTTTCAGATATCATATTTTTTTCCTAATGTTAACTCTAAGAAACTGTACCATTCACAGTCGAATATCAAATGGTAATCTGCCAACGAATCAAACTTCGCAAAAACGGACCAAATATTTAAACTTAGTACCCCTAGAAAACCATTTAAATCATATATTTTGCTCGCTAATAACCGTGTATTATGCAATTTTCATGTTCGAATGCCACCAAACCGCCAGTCTGATGAAAGAAGGGACTGTTGCAGAAGGGGTTTGAAGTAATTTGACCAAAGTAGTTGTTGACCTCCTCCTGGAATAGAGGATGGTCAACAACTACTAATTAATACTGGTCTACTATTAATATTTGAAAAGTGATCTATGTTAAACAGACTGTGATGGCCTCGCATGTGATCAAAGTTGCTAACCATAATATCTGAAAAACTTCATATAAAATTTGTTTAAATAAAAAAATCTTGTATAAATGCTAGAATAATTCCTTTTATGTGATAATAGTATTCAAATTTTGGTAAACAGATTGTATAAACAGTGTGAGAAGTACATTCTTGTAAATATTGTTGAATTTATATAAAAATTATTGGGCTGCAATTTGAAAAAATTGTAGACCTATAAATTCCCACTGTTATCCATCTGTTCATCTGTTCCATCTCTGTCCTTCCTTAATCTCGAGAACAGAATCAGAAACATGAAAGTTAAGACCAGACATGGAAATCGTAAGAGAAAGAGGACCAGATTAATTATATTATACAAACTTCCAATTTTTACCGCAAGTCACGTTATTTCGATTCAAAAATTTCCCCCTGAACAGAGATACATAACTGGCACGACTCTATTATGAACAGGAAAAGTATAATATACAGGAGCAAAACGCTATTACACTCAATGCAGGCACATGCTATCTGTTGCAGTAATTAATGGCGTAATGCTGCATCTATTTCACACTATATCATTGTTCCAGTAATTCAGTGAATATAATATATATTTTTAAAAATTATATCCTTTTATGTAAGAATTATATTTAGTTAATTATTTTGTTAAATTTTTTCCAATAGATGGCGCTACATGTAAAGCCAGCAAATCAAATGTAGATAGAAATTAATTGATATATAAAAATCCAATTGATAATTTGGGATGAAATGTATGCAATAATCTAAGTTAGAAGAATTTCAATTTAACTGCAAAGTTTCGTAGCAATTGGTTAGTAGTGTATAGCAAACAAACATCCTCATATAGATTTATATAAGCTGATTTAATTTTAGAGTATTATTCCAGTGTAATAGTTTTAAGCAGAGACAAATATAACAATAACATTAATGTTATACTTCCCTATCATTGAAATATACTTTGCATGAATAAGATATAAATAAATGGCAACTTAACATTTTTAACACATTTTGATAACCAATAACAGTCTTATTGACTGTTCATAAACAATGTCACACTTCATGGGGAGAGGAGGATAATTCAGAATGTGACACAATATACTAAGGGAAGGAGGGAACATTACCTTGTTACATCACATTTCATATCTAATATTAACTTGTATCATACATTCTTTTAACACAACAGGTGACATTTAAAACATTCTTTAAAAATTTGTTTAATATATGAATTTATATAAGAATTCTAAAAGATAGCAAAAAGTAAATGTGTACCAGAGTTATTTTACTATGGCTACTTTACTATGGCTACTAACACAGTCTGTTACAACCACCATAAAATGATTGGCACAATTTCTGTGACTAAGTAATTTATCACTATTTGTATGTTAAAAATGACTCATCTGTTCAATGTTTTAGAAGTCTGAAGTTAAAAGAATTTTAAGATAAATAATATGGAATTATTTTGCTGTTACCATGAAGTCATCTTTGTTTCTAAGATCTGTTAAGTTAAAAAAGGTAATTTGGGTTATAACTGATTATTTCTGGCAATTATTACTAATTTTAACTTCATATTAAGGTAATTTCGTATAAACAAAGAACAGCAATATAAGTCACAGCACAGGACTGAGATGCAGCACATTACTTTATTTAAAAGTTTAAGCAGTTATTTACTGTGCTAGACTTGTTAAAAATGTTTACTAAATTTTCCTAAAAATTTGAAGAAGTTTATTTTCAGAATATTACCAAAGAAACAGGAAATACAGAAAAGTAACTCTTGATATTTTCTAAATGTAAACTGCAGTATCTCTCATGGATTGGAGGAAATGCTTTTGAATTTGTTTAAATGCTTTATTTGGAAGTTTAATGCAGATAATGTTGAGTGGATGAATGTTGATGAAGTAGACATGACACAAGACAGCATTTCCATTGTGTCAATTGAAGAATACCTTATAAATCTATGAGTGAAATAACTTGCTCATAAGGTATAGCAAAAATAAAAATTTTTATTAATACAATCAAACCTCCGAACAACGGCCACTGACGAAAACATAAAAAATGTCCGTCGTTCGCAGGTTATTTTGTATACATTTTTGTTAAATGTAAAGAGTTCCTGGGGGAAGTTCTAAATTTATTTCAAAATTATGAAAATTAAATTCAATTATTGATTATAAAACACTTTACAATCAATAAAATTAATATCACTACATTAAATTAATACTAGAAATATGCCAATATTAGCATTAGAACTAGTATTAATTCTTACTTAAGTAGTAGTAATTATACTATTACTAATAGTATTATTTTTATTGAATAATCAAGGCATGTTCTTTAGAAGAAAGAATAGAAATTTAAAATAATTAAAGATTATAAGAATGGAGTTACACTTTCAACTTGAAATTCTTAAATAAATTCTTAAAATAAATATTTTTAAGCATGAGAAAAACAAATAAGGAAATAAAATTTTAATCATTTAAAATTATTAAAACGATAAGAATTTATTGTAATTTATCTTAAATCTGATATGAAAGGAGGTAAGTAACTTAAGCATATTCTTAGATAATAAATTTTGCATGTACTAAATCTACGCTTGTTTAACGCTATAAAATATCCTGTTTACTTTCAAAACAATAAGAGATTTTATCTTTAAAATATTTAATATCGATAAAGCTTAAGTAGTTGTCACTTGCTACAGATGATTGAATAAAACTATACTCTTGTGTAAAACTATNATTACCTCTTTATAATATTAGTATAGATCTATTATGTAATTGACACAGTGTATTTACATTGTACTAATGCAAAAACTTTGTGGATGATAACTGATGTAACATGATTTATGAGGAGGATTTGTCATAATATGACAATGAATGACATGAGAGGATAGGAAGTAAAACTGTGGAATTTTAGCATGACATCATTTATGGACAGCCCCTAAGCTAAAAAGATCTATAAATATAAAAATATCAGAAAAATTAAGTATAAGATATTAAACTATATATAGTATCAGTATAATGCATTAAACTAGTTAGTAAGAATAATTCACAGTTTATTTTAAGTTATAAAATTTCAATAATATAAAACCACAATCTATCATCATATTCTTTACAATGATTTGTATTCTTTATATAACATGATGTTACAATATCTTAGTACAGAAAATTTGTAAAAAATTTTGAGCAGAACAATGAATTTGAGTTAATAAAAAGCAAAATGTCAGATGTGGTTTCGATTATGTAAATTTCATTACTTAAACAATAAAATAAGAGCAAATTATCCTGCAAATAATCATCATAAATTGATAATTATTTAAAATTTTTTAAAAATAGAATACTGTAATAAAAACTATACAGTTAATTTGATGTGTGTTATGTTTAAGTTTGAATCAATTTTAAAATTATTTTCCTGTATGTCAAAAATCAACATAATCAAATATATCATACTTAAAACAAACTCAAATTGATCAAAATTACCTAATTGGCATCTCCAGAGAATAAAATGGATTTTTTAGAGCAAAATCTGAATAAATTTCATAAATTTTTCTTAAAAGGTTTTCTATTCCTGCTTGTTTAGGATCAGCTACAATAATAAATTTTACTCCTGAAAAATAAAGCAGCAAGTATTAAAAAAAATAAATGCTATTTTATACAAAATTATTATAACTGATTATTAAAATTAACATGCCTACACATTTAAAATAAAACAGAAGCTATTCTCAGCTATTAAATTTTTAAAAGTTATAATAATAAAGCTTTTAAATTGAATATCCACAAATTTCTTTTTATAAATCATATTACAGAATATAAATACATATCCATATCTTTCATTAATATATCGAATGCTTTAATTAGCAGAACTGCAAAATATGAATTATCTTTATATAAGGTCCGATAAGTTGCGCATGCGCACTTCGGTTTCTATTTAATTCATATTTCATGCGTTCTTTTTTAGTGTTCTTTTTCAACTGAAGATGGCCGTTTAAAACAATTGAAAACGTTTTTATTAAACATTTTTATTGCTGGATATTTAAAGGTTTATTTTTATTTTATGAATTATCATCGTAAAATAAAAATTAGCATTAAATTAGAACATATAATTTTGAAACATGGTCATATTTGTTGTGTATTAACTGCATATCATAGTGTTAGTAGATTAGACTATTCACATGTTTCTATTCATTTATTTTGATCCAACCTAAAAAAAAAAACATTTTTTATAACACAGTTTTGAAGTCTCATTGAGTGAAAATGTAATTTACACACAATCACACTGAGTGAAAATGTTTAAGATATTGTATGTCTGTCCCTATGTATTTCTATTTATAATTCCTATATAACAAAGTTTTAATTGAATTTACAAAACAAATTTTGAACCATTCAGAAAAATCCTAAAATATTGCAACAATAAGAGAATAATGTTTCCAAAATCATTCAAAAATGAATGACTTTAAAAAGTTTTTAAAAGAACTGAAAATAATTATGTTACAGTTTTATTATTAAAGAGCTGATAGAGAATAAAATTGTAAAAACCATTAAGATTAACATTACAAAAATTATTAAATTTTACATATTAAACATTTTTAGGTTCAAAGCATCAACAGACAAAAAATTCTATTATTTAATTAAATAATGTATATATGTATGGTACATGTGTGTACAAAATTATTATTGGCTAGAATTAGCATTGTAATAAATATATAAATAAAAATAATTTATGCTATGCTCATGCTTATTATTTATTTATTATTACAATTATTATCAGATAAATTATTTCATTTATTTATAAATTATTAAGAGTATTTCATTATTTCTATTATGAAATACTCAATATAAATAAAAATAAATTTTATGATTTATCTTTTTTCATGATCAGTTTAATAAATAAAGTATCTTGATTTTCAATTCAAAAATACTCTAAAAAGAATTCATCTTTTCAAATAAATTTCAAAGTTTTCTACAGCTTGTTATGCTATCTTTTCATCATGCTTTAAAATTTACAAAAAGTAATTTAAGTTGAAAGCTCATTCATATTAATTATTGAGAACATAGAATAAAATGTTACAAAAATGTTTAATGGTCAGCAAATAAATAACTGTCAATTATTCATTTTTATTTATAAGACTGGATAAATAAAATGAGTTCAAATGTTTATTATAATTTTTGAAGGAATTAAAGAATAAATTTATATTAAAAAAAATGTCTAAATAACTACAATACATGTAATAGGAATGAGAATAAAATGGATTTTTGTACAAATAAATGTGATTTGATAAATAATGTTTTATATTATTTCAGTATATGTATTTTAATAATGTTGAAATGCTGGAGAGAGAAACTGAAAATGAATTATTTCTTATTATTAGTAAATTTGCATGAGTAAAGACAATAAATACACATGGAAAAGAATCTGAGTGAACAATTTTAATTACATAATATATTATACATGTAATTGAAATCACACACATTTGATAGAATAATTAAACATTATGAATCAAAATGCACTTGAAAAATATACATTTCTTAGAGTAAGGTTCGAATGAAATTAAAAACCATAACTGGCTTACTTTGATTGGTATGACACACCCTATATCCAAAAATTTATTTAAATTTCAAATAACGTATTAGTTATCTAAGAATCACAACATTCCCAGAAGCTTTATAAGACATGCTGGAATATTGTGAAAGCCAGTTTGAAAACTATTGTCATATAAAATATTATGTAGAAATTTATCAATAATTTATATTAATATTTAACTTTTGAAAGAAAATTAAAATAATAATTGAAGATTAGTTAAAGTGTTTTCAATTGATATAATCCCTTATTACAGATGGTTTACTAATACATTATTATTATTAATACCTACATAGAATATCTATATTATGATTTATGATTATATTACCTGTTATTGTTTGAAAACAGTAGAGTTTAAAAGTATCAGTTTCAAGTACTTCAATCCCTGAAGATTTAGGTTCTGGAGAAAGTTGAGTTGCAATGGCAAATAATCTAATAAAATAATTTGAGAATTAATATTTATATTTTTTCTTAACATCAATGATGTTAGATTCAAATTTTGATATATTTGTCCTACATTTTAAACTTAATACATATTATACATACATATTTTAAAACAATTATTGTAGATTTTTACTTCTATAACATTTAGACAGAACATCATTTCTAATAAGTCAATATTTTATTAAAAATGATATTAATTAAAAATCATTAATAATTTTGCTGCAAGATAAAGGTAAATTATTTTGACAATAAGATAAAGGATATCAATATCTTTACATCAATGTGAAATTTTTAAAATATTGTAAAATTTGATAGACTATTCTGAAATATATATCTTAAACTTTAGAATAAACTTTATTATTTTTATATTTGTGTAGATAAAAGCATATTTATAAAGACAAGCAAATATAAGTAAAACACTAAGATTTATCAAAAAACAATACCACAGTCTACTTGACATCAGTATTTCATTCCTGAAAATCAAACATTTTGTGAAAAAACATCAACAGCTTATTTTCCCATTATTTTAAATTGGAACCATTATAATGCACTGCAACATCTCTAATATTCTACAGCACAAATATAGGCATTTTATTGTGTTTAAGTTAATGAAAAAGTAATCATGTTAGAATGTAAAATGACAAAAGCAATACTTCTTGATCACCAAACAACATGCTTGTTAACAAACAAATGCTCATATGCAATAATGTGTACAACCTGCATGTCATACTATAAATATTATGTTTATGACATAGCATAGCAAATAGCAATAACGAAGTTTGTTAGGAAAAAATCTACGATAAAAATTAAATCAATTTCCTGTAATAAACTGCTACTATGCAGATAAATAAACTGCTACTAGCAGACAGTTGAGGCTTGAAACAGCATGCTTTTCAAACTATTACATTTGGTTCTATTATTCTAATTGGATTTGGAATGCAACTTTAAACTTTGGAAATCATTTGTTAAATATAATGTATTACAGATGTAAAACAACTGTTTACATTTTGTTACGTTCACAAACAATAAAACTAATATATTTAATATTTTCCTATATATATCAAATATTTTTTAAAACATTTTTTTATAATTTTCCATTTTATTTGTTTTAGAAAATTATATATTAGATTAACAAAAGATTCAAAATTAAAGACAAATAAGATTATTCATATCAAACTATTGTGCTATTAACCTGGATGACATTCTTAATTAAGCTCCTCATTCTTCAATGTATAGCTTTTATTATGTCCAAATAAATTTATTATTATTATTGTAGTGTTAATGGGGTGTATCCTATATAGAATAAATAAGTGTCTAGTACTATGCTCAACTAGTCAAGTCATAACAAGGCTACAAAAAACAAATTATTTGTTTATGTGCTGTTCATTTATGTATATGTTTAAAAATTTTCTATGTCATGTGTTTAGTATAACAGCATTCTGTAGTGTAATATATATGCTGTTGTGTGAAACCCTAATGTTTGAAGTTTAAGAAGTCCAGCTCTTTTGTCATAAGGCTGGACTTCTTAAACTTTTCCCTTTTTACCCAAGATCATTTTACATGATCCTGGCTATATACATACACAGTATGTAAGTACTATACATAGAACAAACACACAAATAAAACATTAACTGATAATAAATCAAAGAAATTTAATTCCAAACAATTCTTTGTTATACATATAATTATCAGGACAAAAGAAAATTTGCCTACTAATGTGCTTGTTTATTTTTGCAAAAATAGTTAAATCTTGGCTGAATATTTGATACTGCAGGACACAGGATATCTTCAAAAAAGTTTTTCAGAGTTCATCAATAATTTTATAATCGTCAATGACAAAAACAAAAACATGATATAATAAATGTAGCAAGAAGTATAATGAATGGATTGTATAATAGTTTTAATAATAATAATAATATTATTATTATTATTATT